TTTATTGATAAGAAAATACGGGTCAAGTTCCAGGGAGGAAGAGAAGGTTCGTGACACTTTGGCTCTTTCACCATTTTTTTCTCACTATGACCAGCAGTTGAAGCATAACTGAATTGTTACAGCTGCTGGAATTCTCAAAGGATATGACGCCTTGTTAAATTTGGTACTAGACAATTGTGTGGAATATCTTCGCGACCCTGAAAATCCAGGAACAGTCGGAGATGACACCAGGTCAGCTATTCAATCGGAAGTTTTATTTTTGTGGAAAGGTTTCGAGCTGGAAATGTGGAAAAGAAATCAAAGTTTATGTTGGCTTCGAAAGCGGTCAGTATCTCTTTGAGTCATGACCCCCTAATATAAGACTAGGGCTGCCTTCACACTTTGCATCCATCGCTTTGAGCATTTCGAGCAAATAAGGAAGTGTAGGAACCGACTTAAGGGCGTTTGACGTTCGCTCAATACGCTGGACCGGTATCTATGTTTTCCTGGTCGTTGAAAACACTGGCGGACGCCCAAACCTGCCGCGAAGTATAATTGCGCTCTAACAAAAGACAGCAGTAAAAAAACTGCTGGTTTGGGGAAATAAGTGAAGCCTAACGTTGTCAACCCGCATCTTTGAGCATAGAAACTGCACGAATCTCTGCGTGCAGGTTCTCATGCACTTGTATACTGGTAGCTACTACTGTGTGCTAGGATGACCGCACTTGCTGCAGAATCCGTTTTCACAATAGGCAGTCTCACATCCGGTTTTTTTGTCTACCAACTTTTCTGCGAAGCTGGTACTTCCTTGTTCGCGATTTAGCTCGTCATACGTTAACTGACAATCTATCCTTCGCTGAACGATTCCTTCCCCATTCATTTGCAGCACTAGCAGTTTGGGTTCAGTTGTGAAAAAGTTGTACTCAGTTTGCATTTTCTCGCTCTGTTGAGGTATCCGGAGTGGAAACAAATTTTCAGAACTGTTCGCGTGGCAAGGTTTCAGTTGACTAAACACTCCGCTCATACTTTCCCAAATAAGGACTTGTTTCGTTTTCTACGGCTTATAGTAGTACTTCGTTCAGGTCACTTGGACTAATAGTTGCCCGAGGCACCGCGATAACAGTCGTAGCTCCCTCTGATGGTATGGAACAAATCGACAACCCGTTTGCCCAGCAAGAAGATTAGCGGTACTTTTTTTCTCCTTTTTTTCTTTTCTCGAATTGTTTTTTCGCCGGTCTTCTCCCGTTGCTCATCGATTTGCTCGTGCGAGCGCCAGTAACGTCATCCATTCTTCCATGCGAAGCGCTAGAATGGACTGATGGTTTCCCTATGCTTGAAGGGCACGAAACATACAATCCATTCAGAGCTCTCACGAAGATGTTTGACTATCGCGTAGGTGATCGTCCGGTGTTTGCTTGACATCCCGTGGATTCTTGTCGGTGGTCATTCTGGTCAAGTGAAGAAGCACCAGCAACTGAAACCTTAGAAGCATGACGAACTCGGCCCCGTCGTCGTCGTCGGAACTTCGGCAAATGCGGATGCGTCCATGATCTCCCATCTTCGGCGTGAGTGCGGAGTTCCGAATTTCCTATCTCACGCATGACGCGGAGATTCCAAGCGAGGTGAGCAAGGAACCCGGTGTTCTTCGTTTTCTTCGCTACTACCTTGGTTCTTGAAAGCCCCCAAGCCGCTCGATTACTCTGCTCAGCTCTGGTGCTATGCTTTCACCATGCTGATTTCGCGACCGAGCTACACATAGCTAGAGCATCCAGAGTTGTTCTCCAGTTGAGCGAGCATGGAGCATCGAAGTCAATGCACTTTTTGGTTTCGTTATGCCAAAAATATTATTATGTGGAACTCGATTGAAGTTGTCCTGACGTTTCGGCTACATCGTCGCCCTCAGAGGTCCACGCCTACCTCAAGGTTTCGATGTTGGAGACTCTATGACGCCAACGCCTCTACTTCGTAGCTGACGAGTTCTAAAGAACTAGCGGAAAAAATTCTTAACAAAACTTAACAGTACTCGATCGCATGAGCGGAATGTCAGCCAAGTTCTCATAGAGTTCCATTTAAGTTTACATTAATGCCAAAGTTTTACGAAGAAATAAGTGGACACTATAAAAACCAGTGGGTTCTTCATGAACATCGTCTTCGTCTGATTGAGCTGCAACCACTGACTTTTCAGCGCACAGTGCAAATCAGCCAGCATTACATCTGCTTGCTCGATGTTTGGTGTTATGGGCATGTTGTGGTCAGCAGTCAGTTTCTGAACTGATAGTTCTCTCTAAAATAAAGTTCCTTGCCACTTCAAAATCGTCGGTCCACTCAACATTTTGAGCGGATGGCTACAAAACATTGTTTATCGTTTCGTTCACTAAGTTCCCAGGGTTCAGTTTGACATGTTGAAAACAAGGGTCGGTGCATCGTTAGCAGTGGGAACCTGAATGTAATGTTCCGTCTTCCTTTGTCATATTGTCATTGTTCTGCACCAGATGTCTTGTTAACACAAAAATTGGGGTTGTGATTGTGTCAAAGAAACAACAGGACGTCCTTTGAGATTTACAAACTTGTTTTGATGATGTTGGGGTACATGACGGGTCCTCAGTGAAGGGTCATGTGTCTCGTATGTGAATCACATTAACTCTTGTACATCTGACCTGTCGCTTATCTGAATAGAACTATGCCCTCGGCAGTTCCCGCGATTGCAGTCGTGGGTGATAGAGTTCAAAATAGGAATTTGGTGCACTAGCTAATGAAGGGGAAATGGTGAAAAACCGCCCGCAGTAGAAGCCTCTTCACTGCAATCAGTCGTGAACAAACGCACGAGCATAAGATGGTCAAGTTCGAGCGCGATTTGCAAAAGGTGACGACACATTGACAGACGCGGAGCGCGGGAGAAGACCAGAAAGCGATGGTCAGGGGAGCGCAATGACATTATCACGACGGGCAACGTCGGCATGGGCCTACTAGACGCCCGTGGGCCTAAAAGCCTGAGCTTCCTGCGCATTGCTTGCCATTTCATCTTTCAAATGATGTACTGCCTCTGCTGTTGCATCCCTGGTCACTATACACGTTCAAGAGGTTTGAGCTTTAGTTCATCGCGGACAGAAAGTGAATTAAGAACCAGAGAAATGACAACATTTGCTTGCTTCGTCCTGGACTCTGTTCTCCTGGAGAATTTTGATCATGAAATTGCAAGGATATTCAACATGAGGAAAGCAAGCTTGCTGAAAAACACTTCGAAAACGCACTGGGTTTGCTTTGTCCTAAAAGCTCGCCTAGAATTTGTCCGAGGGTATTAGTTCATTTTCAGTGGCGATTTAATCGTTCATATGATCTCAGAACCACGGGGATGGAAAAAGGCTAATGTTACATCAAAGTCAAAAGGCTCACTTTTGAGGACGGTCCTTTCTATGTGTGGGTAGAAGGTTATATTTGCAGGAGCGTCCCCTTTCTTTGTTCAAAAGCGAGAACGGGATAGGAGGTAGTGATACCCGGGTGAGCTCTCCATAATCCACCCAAGCTATTCTCAATGTGCAGTACTTGCGTCGAAATCGAGGTCCCGATCGAATCAGCGAAACTCAGTGGTAGAGAACAACTAGAAGTGAGAGAGCGCAGGCAGGTAGCGCGTTCGGCTCTGGTTAGGGGTTACGTGACAACTAGAACTTTTGGTGGGGGTCCTGCCACGATAGGCCAGAGCGCAGAGCAATAAGGGACTGCTACAGCTAAGGCATCGTGAGGTAGAAAAAACACTATGCGAGCCAGGAGATGAGCTTTTTCGAAGGGAGGGGACACCGGGGTGGATGAGCCACTTAGTATGCGTGAAAAGTTGGAATGTGAAAGGTCAAAGTGGCCATAAATCGCCATTCAGGCAAGAGAGCGCAGAGAAAAACAGAAAGTTGGCGCCATTAAAGGGATTGAGTTTTAGTTGTCCGTAGACCCTGTGAAGGGCCGTGCAGGAAGCGCGGGCTGTGTTTTGAGACGGCACCCAGGTATACCTACCCTCCCAGGGCACATCATCTTTGGGATCCCCAACAAGGGGAGGGCGTATTTGACAGTCGAAGTGGGAGGTCGTAATGAGAGGGGCAGTTATACCGAACAGCGCAGTGTCAGTGTGCTGTGTCCTGTATAGCTGTGAACCCGGATATGTATAAGAAATAGTACAAAAATCCAATAAATTGAAGTCATTCAAAATTAACTAGAAATATTAATAAGTTGACATAATAAGTCACGCTCAGCGAGCCTTGTTTTTATGTCTATAATGTGAAGTATTGCAGTGATGGATTCAAATCGAGATGATAATGCGGGTTCCTGGTCCTTAACTACCATCACTACGAGCTCGTCTCCTCCGTCCGTCTGTCCTCTGCGATCCTACGAAGACTGATATTTAATAAAGAAACCTCTTTGTCATGTGCAGATACAGAGACGTTCATAACTTGCCCCCATTTTTGGCCATTCCTCGTCAGACTTCGCGTATCGTCACACTGA